AAAAAAAAAAAAAACTAACACACAAGTATGGAAGCATTTTGCTGAAAACGTGTTTACATTGAAGAAAGAGGATTTACTGATTTGATTTCATTTAACCTATGACAAGTCAAATGCAAGGTACAAGCTACTTAAATGAAACTCTGGTGTAGGCACCACATTCACAATTATAAAAGCCCACTCCACGTCATCATCCTCAACCTTTCCGAGAACCAGAAACAAAGAACATCAAGAAAGGAAAACGTGTTACCCTCTTCTCTCTCTCTCTCTCCCCAACAATTTGGCGCCTTCCTTCTGCTTTCGATTTCCTCTTTCAGAGTGGATTTCTTCTCGAAGATGCGACGCTCTGCGGCCAAGAAGACGGGTCAATCCAATTCCACTCCCAACGCCGCCGCCGATCTCTTCCGCTCCGGTATACCATTCCCATCTTCCAATTTTACTTTTTTCTTTCGTAATTCACCGTTTCTCTGCGCCTTTCTTATGAATCTTCCATAAAAAAATTTCCTTCTTCCCTTTTTTACCCTCTAGTAATAATTGGAATCACCCTTGTTTAAACCTTAGATTAAGGGTAAGGGTGTTCTCTTTTATTATAATTAATTTATGTGGGTATCTTCTGGTCTTGGTAAAGTTGATTTTTCCCCCTATTTTTCTGGTCAACCCTGCTTGTTTTGGCTGTAAACCTCTCTTGGTCTTTGGTTTTGGTTTTTTCAGTGAAAAGGTTACATTTTTTAGGAATTTTCTGTCATAATTCGGTGGGGTTTGGGAATTGTGGTAGTTGGTAAGCACAAGTGGGATAGGAGAGGCATAGTAATTCTTACTTAAGATTTTAGATCTCAAGAAGAAAACACATCCTCCCTGTATTTGTCGAGTCAATTTAGTACTTTTTCAAGCAAAGAGTGATAGATGATCAAATTCTTCAACTTCGGTGCTTTGCGGGCTCAATGAAACCTCTTTAATGATCAAATTCTTCAATGATTGCTCATTGATGGCTTGGTGTCTACCATATATGTTGTTCATCATTGCCTGTTTATTCTCTAACCCCATGTTTGTGTGTTTTATTGTAACATGTGTATACCATTGGTCAAATATAATTGGACTTGTATTTTGCAAGCACTGTTATTGAGGGCAATTAATTGTTTAATGCTCTAATTTATTCAAGCATAATTTTTCAGCTTCAAGTAAGGCAAGCTCGAAGGAATCAGAACGAATTGATAGTCTATTCTATTCGTATGCCAATGGGTCTACTGGGTTGATTGAGTAAGTGTGTTTCATCCCAGAATGTTTTTTTCTTCTGCAATTCAATATGAATATATCAAATTGCATCGTGCTGTTGTTGTTTTCTTAATTCAAGTTTGTAGCCTAGGACATGGGTCTATTGGGGGTAAATAGCATTCAATCAATGATTACATACTGTTGTGAGTGAGCTGTTATAGACGCATATCTCCTTTAATACAGCTAGGTGAATTTCGGAAGTATTTACAAGCAGTTTTTTCAAGAGTATATGTATGTACAATCAAAATGACAATAACGACAATAAAGCCTTAGTCCTGTTATGCTGAAGTACTCAGACTACTCATACTCTTTGGCTCTATGTATAAATATGTAATAGGGTAAGACTTGATAGTATAAAGAATTTGATAAACTCTAGTATTATCAGTCATTTGGTATGCATAGAATAAGGTCAATAAGCAACTTAATTTTGTAAATGACAATCTGCAAGACTCTACAGCCCTTCAGCTGTTGCATTATTCATTTGCTATCTCACCCAATTCCTCACAGCAATACTCCAAACCTGAACCCAACTTACTCCTCACTTCCGGCAATTTATCATCATCACTTTCTTCCCACCCCTTCCTGTCCTGCCATGATCAAACTGTTGGATAAGGTTCTGGTGATGGACAGCCGCATATGGTTCCATTGACAAACAGTCACCTTCACACTCTTCTCTGTCATGTACATCTTGTTCCCAATGTTGGCAATGGATACTCAACTAGATGCTGTGAAACCCTTGACAGTGGTGGCATGGACTAGCTTGCAATGCAACTGTGGCAGTGTAAGTTGGAAGCTCAAGAAATGGTAGTGGTGTTCTGGTTTCTTCTTCCATGCTTTGGCAATGACAGCTCTTTTTTTTCCTCTTCATGTCATGGATGATAGTTTCTTTAATTGGATGGGGACATCTAGGAATGAGTTGAAGTTTAATTTGTTTTAGATTTCTATAGGTTTAATTCAAGGGAATTGCATGTTGATCAATTTGACTTCTTTCATTGAGTGTAGATATTGTTTGGTTGAAATTTGGACTTATTTTATGTGGGTTTATAAACATTAGTTTTCAGATTTCAGTATGTAAGCTTGAAATTTAGTATACTGGCATGTTTATGAGTAATTGAAAGTCTGCAGAGGGAGAGAACTAGAGTCAAATGATGACTGGTTAGGTAGAGGATAGGGTTATCAGGCTGTGATGGGATTAAAAACTTGGATCTAATTTGACTATACTATCAGGTAGATGCACTAAATAAATACTTGATAATGTTAGCTGATACTATCAAGTCTTCCTTCAGCAGTGCGCAACTCTGCCTTGCATTAAGATAGGATGATGTGTCACAATGTAAGATATTAATTGTATATGTAAATCGAGAACAAAAGAAACAAAAAGATCAAATGAAGAAGAATTAATGTGTTTAAAGTGCCAGAAAGTGATTCTTGGTGTATAAGTGGCTATATATATATATATATATATATATATATATTATAAATATTAATTACTATGAAATATGTTATTAATGTTGATTGATTCTCTCATAATATAATTTTTCTAATTATTAAATTTACTTATTATATCGTTAATATTTAAATTTCTATAAATGTGATACATATTATGCAAACTTCTATAAATATGACATGTATTATCCGATCCTATTTATAGATTGACTATATATATATATATTATAAACATTCTAGGTGAAGGTGTTTACATTTTGAAAGTAGGCTTGTTATATTTTAATTACTTTGGCTACAGCCCAGAAGGAATTGAAACGCTTTGTGCTGATATGGAGGTGGATCATACAGATGTGAGGGTCTTGATGCTTGCGTGGTAAGTTATTTTTCTACACTTAATTGCCACTCAATACGATATTATTAATTTTCTATATATCTTAAGTTCATGTTTGGAGTTGATGGAGACTAAATGTAACAGGAAAATGAAAGCTGAGGAGCAAGGATATTTTACCTTGGTATGTATATTATCATGTTCATTGTTCATAAAACTTCTTTTGGAATTATTTCAATTTTTTTTTTAATACAAACTCACATGTAGATATTCAAAGCCACAAATATAAGTAAATACTCAAGTTTCTTGTATTTTTGGCGCACAATCATGTAGTTTTGGTATTATCTTTCTTTTTAACCCCATCCTTATACTGAAATCACTCTCATATTCCAAAATATTCTAGGATGAGTGGAGGAGAGGCTTAAAAGCATTAAGGGCTGATACAGTGAGTAAATTGAAGAAGGCACTCCCAGACCTAGAAAAAGAGGTATAATTATTGAAGTGATACTCTTTTTGATAATTCATAGACAAATTAATTTATGGCAATTGTTACATATTTATGGTGGAAATATTTTATCAGTTGCTAACATTTTTATTTTGACATCTACTGTAAAGGTCAGGAGGCCATCAAACTTTGCTGATTTCTATTCTTATGCTTTCCAATACTGTTTAACAGGTTAACTTTAATGTGATTTTGTGTACATTAATTTAACTTTTTGTTTTTTCTGTACTTTTCTTTTGTTCATTATATGTCCTATATCTAATTTGTCCAATTTTACCAGAGGAGAAACAGAAAAGCATTGACATAGAGAGCATTTGTGAATTACTTACTCTTGTTTTGGGTTCAACATTTCCTGCACAAGTCAGCTCATTTGTGGAATATTTGAAGGTGAGTAATGGGTTTTACACTATTGTTTTAGTTCTTAGCACAGTGACTCTAACAATTTTTTTTCTATTATTTATTATTTATGGCAGACTCAAAATGATTACAAGGTCATAAACATGGATCAATGGATGGGATTTTTCCGCTTTTGCAATGAGGTAGCCTCTTTTTCTGCTACTTCTAGATTGCTTTTATGTCAATTACCAAGCGGAAGATATTTTTTAGCGTTTTTTAACTCATTCATCTCACAATGTAGTTAATACAAAGGTTATGTTTGCTTTCCACAGAAGCACGCATTTGTTGCAACACCATTACATTCTTAACCGCTTGCTTTGTCTTCTTTCTTTGGATTTTTTTGTTTTGAAAATTCTAGCTGACTTGTAATTGCAAATTTCAACCTATTCACAGATAAGTTTTCCGACCTTTAATGACTATGATCCTGAACTTGCCTGGCCCTTGATCCTGGATAATTTCGTTGATTGGGTGCAAGAAAAGCAAAAATAATCATTGGTACGTGTTTTCATGAAATTTTATATATATTGATTTGAGAAATTTTAGCCACACTTTCTCTAACACTCTTTTGTTAATATTATATATAGTATTGATTGAAAATTACAAATTTTGGTGGGTCCTACCTCTAAATAATAAAGAAAATGTTAATTTTTGTTCTAACTTGTGCAAATTGGTTTGTTGGCAGCACTCCTATAAGAGAAACTGTCAGATTGCAACTAAATCAGATGGGATGCCAGTGGCTCGTTTATTGTACTTAACTAGTCATTATTGTTCTTTTGTTGGTCCAATTTCTTTTTGGGCATTTTAAACACAAACCATTATTATTATTATTATTTCTTTTTAAATTTTAAATTTTATCTATAGGTGCAGTTGAGGCTAGATACAAGCTTTACATTGTGATTACTACTGCCAATGCCAACATCATTTATCATACGTAAGAGCTTTTATAGAACTAAATTGAGTGAGAACAGTCTTATGTTGTCGTAATTATATACGATACAATTTTATTTTAGTTTATTCTCCCTGTTAGTGTGTGCGCTGTATGTACATGAATCAAGCTAATTTTTTTCATGAGAGTTAGTGAAAAGAGCATGAAAAGAATAATTGAATTGTATATTTTGTATCAATGATACAAAATTGATCTCATCAGTTATTGTATAATAAGATTTAAAGTCATTTGAAAAATCAAATATGATGTAAATTACTACCTACTACCTGGCTAAATTGCATCAAATGTCATTATTCAAATGACTATGACGTGTAACTTGTTGGCATCGTTATCCCCAACTTCTACATTTTCGGTGTAATTCGGTTTAGTTAAAAAGTGAAAAAGTAAAGATAAGTAATTTTTAATTTAAAAAATAACAATTAACGCGTTACACATGCAAGTGTAAATTTCACACCTCAATTTATTATTGATTTTAAACTTATTGGTAGTTTTTTTTTTTTAATGAATATTCATGTTACAAGATATCTATTGTTAAAAATAATTATTAATTGTTGACAGATATAGTGAAATAAATATAGTTTATTCCATATTCAAAAGATTGGATTATAATAATGTTACACATACTAAGGCTTATTCATGACTAAACATCCTAACTATAGGATTAGGTTTTTTACTTGGCTATCTTGATGGGAGAGATACAACCTAATTTTCTTATACATCGATTAATCATAATGAGTTATAGTTTATAAGGGGTAATGATTAAGTTATAGATTATTTGTACTTTTATCTCTTTAATAAGATTTTTGAGTTTCATCCGGTTGAATTGGTTGAATCATATATACTAATGATGGAGGTGAGTAGTAGAAGTGAAACACAATCTCCTCAAAATGCATGATGACGCATATAGTTGTTGTATTAAGCATATAATAAGTTGAGTTAATTGTGTTGTTCATATGTTGTGTTGAATTGTGATGAAATGTGTTGTTGCATTGAATTAAAGTTGTTATGTTGATTTGTGTAATATACTATGATGCCCTATTGTTGTGTTGTTGAAGATGTGAGCTAACAATGTGATGTTTCTATGTTGTATATATTTGTTTCTTTTTACTCTAGTTTATCATTGCATGTTTTTATGTGGTTTGGATTACAATGATCATACGTGTATGGTAGCAGGACAGGGGTAGGACCGGAGAGTTATTCTAAAGGTCACTCAATGGTGCATGAGCCGGAGGATGTTTTGTTGACCGGTAACTTAAGATGTATAGATTGCACTTACTGAAATACTATATGTATATTGCACACATTTACTTAGTTGATTGCCTTTATATGCATGCAGTATAGTACATGTTTTTAATATTTTTAAATATATAGTCCTAAGTTAGATGTTTTTCGTTACTAGTAGTTATGTCGCATAGTGTAGGGATCAAGGTAAATCATTACAAATTAAAATGAATGTATAAACTTTTTAAAAGAATTAAGTTGATATTCTATTTAATTGAGAAAAAAAAAAGAGCTAACAATCTATTTATAGTAAATAAAAATTTAATTTTATATATTGTTAAAATATTTAAATTGCTAATAATTATTTAAAAATCACCTTATATATAAATTTTAAAATAATTATTACAATAATTAACAATTTTATCGTCGTACATAATAATTTATCATTAGATAATAATAATAATAATAATAATAATAATAATAATAATATATGTACTATCATATATTTTTTTAATGAGAATCTTTTTACTTGATTCTCTTAGACTATTATCTTTGTTATTTTTCTACATCTAATAAAATTAATATCAAAATTTCCAAAATTTGCATTATTAAATTAATGCTTCATAATCTTGTCTTAATAGATTATGAGTTTAACAAGG